GTGCCTCGGGGGTGGGCTGGCGCTGAATGCAGAACCAAAATCAAAAGCTGGTCCCTACGCTTGCCAAAGCAGGTGCTTAGTCTGCTGAGCTATCTCGCTGTCCATAGAAATTCTTAAAATTAGAATTACTGGGATAAAGAGCACACAAATCTTCAGTTTTTGTTGATATAGTCAATGACCTACTAACATACTTTTATTAAGTAAGCAGGATTTTCAACTCAAAATAACAAAAAATTATAATAATTTAAGGTTATAACTTTGGCGAAGGAAAACAATTCTTGATGCTTCCTGAATCAATCAAGAGAAGGGCTAAAACTACACCTGAGGAAGATACTAATACACTATAGGACGCACTTATGACAAAGGAAAACCAAACTCTCTATATGGGCAAAGTATTAGAATCTCTTTCCCCCTAGAGGCAATAGAAGTTTAAACACATTGCTAAGGGAGTTTCCCCGGCTCCGAGCATTCTTTTTCCTAGGACAGTCTCCTAGGAACTCACAGCCATGAAGACAAGATTTTAAAAAAACAAAACAAAAAACCCTAAACGCAGACTTGCTTAAGGCCTCAGCCAGGCTTCTTAAATTTCTGAAATAGCGAGTTTCAGTTCTTGACCTCTGGGTTTTTTTGCTTTTTGTTTCTATGGGTTGTTTTTTTTTTGTTTTGTTTTGTTTTGTTTTGTTTTCATGTTAAAGTGGGTTTTTTAAGGATTGTGATTTTCTTTTGACATATAAGCATACATGTGCATATATACATTTATATACGTATGTCCTTACATATCTGAATGTTCGTTTGTTTTACAGATTGCAAACTCTTCGTGGATGGAAGGAGAGGACGTTGCCCCGCGTCTTCTATCAGCTGCAAGCTCTTGCACCTATTGCCACAACAACCACCAGGTGCAGACTCAGAACTCTTTAAATACATCCCTCACCCCCACTCCAGCACGGTGGACGCGTCCGCCTCCTCCCAGTTCCTCGAGGCTGGGTGGAACGGTCCGTGACGTCACGTCGGGGCGACCCAATCAAAAGCGGCATCGGGGAAAGTTTAAACTCAAGGCGGGGAGGCGGGCGGTGGCTGCCATGGCGGAGGAGGCAGCGGTGGCGGTGTGTGTGAGGGTGCGGCCTCTGAGCAGCAGGTAGGTGCGGTGGGTACGGAGGCGGGGGTCTGGGCACCGGGCGGTCGGGGACGCTGACCCCTGACGACACCAGCAGGGCCCGGCGCCGTGGGTCGCCTTCGCCGCGGGATGAGACCTCCAGCGTCCGGGCACTCCTGGCGGCTCTGGCCGGGGCGCAGGAACCGAACCACACACCGCCGTCGCTGCCCCGGCCTTGCCCTGCGGTGAAGGCAGCGGGAATAGAGTCCAGGTGCCAGTCGGGCGGGGCGGCGGGGCTAGTAATCGCCGCCAAAGAGAAGCTGGGCGCGCGCAGTCGCGGACTCTGCGCCTTGCTGGGCGGCAGCTTGAGACGCTGATACTCGGAGCGTTTGAGAAGTTGCTAAGCACTCGCTGGCGTTTCATACTGAGGCCCGGCACTGGGAGTCTCATGTTTCTAAGAATTCTCTGCAGTAACCCGGCGAAGACAGCTGTAGGAAGACAGCACAGGAGCTGTGCGCAGCGTCCTGACCCTTGCTGGGATGAAAGACAAGTAAATGACTCAGTGGGAAGGTGTTCCAGGCACAGAAAGATGATATCTTTCATTTCAGAGAAACCTTTGCTCGTGGGTACGGAGGATGTGTATAGGGAGGAGAGAGTTGGAGCAGTGACGCGCACTGGGTATCTGGAGCCCTGCTAAGCACTCCAGACTGTTAAGGATTCGAAGCAAGAGGGACATGATCACAGGGTATAATTTAGTCTGTCCTTTCAACAGCCAGAGTGTGGGGAGGACAGACAGGCTTCCCTAGGAATGCCCAGCAGAAGACTGGGGCCTGAGCCCCTCCTAGGAGAGCCAAGCCGTCTTTCTTACTGAAAAATACTTCAGTAAATTTTTAGATAACCTTTCCTATAATAAAAATTATGTTATCAAGTATGCTGTACTTACACATAGTGTTTTTATTTTTTAGAGAAAAAGAACTTGAAGAAGCTACACAGGTTTACTGGAAAACTGACAATAATGCTATTTATCAAGTTGATGGGAGTAAATCCTTCAATTTTGGTAAGCTTCCTCTTTTACTGTTGTCCTTTTACTATGAAGAGTACAAAAGGCCTATTAAGCCAGGAGTGATAGTACATGCCTACTATTCTAGCACTTGGGAGCTGAGGCAGAAAGATCACCTTGAGATCAAGATTCTGCTATGGTGAATTCAAGACCAGCCTGAGATACATAGTTGTATCCAAAAAATATTTAACAAAAGTCATCTCAATAATACTATACTTGGGCCAGAGAGTTGGCTCAGTGGCTTTAGTACCTGGCAAGCACAAGGTCCTAAATTCAATCCCCGGTCCTGCAAAAAAATAATAATGATAATGATAATGATAATAATAATACACTTGTCATTAAAAATCTGTTAACTGCTTTGCTGGAAAAAATTTGTTCATTCATCATGTATGAGAAGTAAGGTAATAAATTGATCTTTAAAATACAGTTAGGACTGGGGATATAGCTTAGTGGCATAAGTGCCTGCCTGGCAAACATGGTACTGCGTTTAATCCTGAGTACCAAAAAAATAAAAAATGAAATACAGTTAAAACTGTATTATATTATTGAAACTAGTATTTTCTCCATTAGACCATAAACTATAATCTTAAACTATAAATCCATAATCTCTTGCAATGTCAAGTCATCTTTAAGATCTTTATCATTTTGCAATAATTTTGAATCAGGCACCTTAAATAATAAATGGTTCATATGTTTCTTATATGTCTGCTAAAGTATATGAGGAACCAGCTCAGCTTTTGTGGCACTTGCAGTGTGGGAGGAGAGGCATGGTGAGGGGTTAAGCTTTGCAGGGCGCACAGTGAAGGATGTAGCTTGGTCCCCGTGTCCTCAAAGCACCACTCACAGGGAGGACCTGCGGCTTAAAGGTGACTTGGCTGATTGCATTGTTGACTGACATGCCCAACGTGCTGACCACATACCAGACACTGTGCTAAGCACTTCATGTATAGTAATTCACTCACTCAATCTTCCCGATGAGCCTACCCATAGATACTGCGACCTGACCCATTTTAATGAGGGGAGAGGGGGGCATAGTTACACAATCAGCCAGAGGAAGAGTGAGGCTCCAAGGACCTGCGATCCGGCCACAGCACCATACCTGCTCAGGACAGCACAGGGCAATAGTGTCCTCAGCAGCCAGTGCTCGTAATGTTTGGGAAAGGCATTTTCAGAAGACAAAACTAAAGCAGATACTGTCTTAAATATTTTATCAGCCTAGATCCTGACAATCTTACTTCTTTGGGTAATTACTAATTCAGAATGAAAACACAGCTGACTTACGCTTTTCTTTTTTAGATCGTGTCTTTCATAACAATGAAACTACTAAAAATGTATATGAAGAAATAGCAGTGCCAATCATCGATTCTGCCATTCAGGGTTACAATGGTTGGTATTCACTCTTTCTTTCTTTCTTTCTTTCTTTCTTTCTTTCTTTCTTTCTTTCTTTTGTATGTTAGGGAAGGGTCTACAGGGTGTCCAGGGTCTCACTACTAGATCAGACTCATAGTGATCCATCGGCCTGTTTACAACCTCCCAAGAGCTGGGATTACAGGTACCACGCCCAGTCTCAGTTGCCCTCTCAGTGCACTCCAGAGGTGGGGCCAGCACCTGCTTGCAGGCACTTTAATCCTCTGAGCTATTTGGCTGGCCCTTCACTTTATGTTTCAAAAATACTTTATCTTGAGTGTTCAACAAGTATTTTGAGTTTTAAAACAGTATAGATTTAGTTTGAATCTTTCTCTGTGTGTGTATTTTGTCTTTACAGGGACTATATTTGCCTACGGGCAGACCGCTTCTGGAAAAACACATACTATGATGGGCTCTGAAGACTGTTTGGGAGTTATACCCAGGGCAATTCATGACATCTTCAAAAAAATTAAGAAGGTAATAAATTAGCTGACTTCCTAGCACATATAGGTAAAAGTAGTCATGATCAGATAATTTTTCTTTTTTTTTTTTTTTGCTTTTTTGACATAAGGTGTTGCTATGTCATTCAGGCTGACCTTGAACTCAAGGCAGTCCTGCCTCAGACTCCTGAGCACCAGGATTATAGGTATGCATCACCACACCCAGCTCAGATAGAAATCTTTTTTTTTTAGTACAGTGTCTCACTACATAGACTGAACTCATGGAGATTCTGCAGTTTTCAGCCTCCCAAGCACTGGGATTACAGGCATGTGCCACCACACCCAGTCTCAAGTCAAATTGCTATCTCAGCATACCCCAGGGCTGGTCCAAGGCCAGGGCTGGCCCAATATGCCCGGGGATCTGAATGCTATACTCTGTACCCTGTGTCTGCCTAAGCAGGTGCTTTAATCTACTGAGCTATCTGGCCGGCCCTAGAAATCTTAATGTTGTCCTCTTATACTGCACTCTTTTCTTACCCATGGAGCAAAGCATAGCATAGATTCAGTTTTATCCCCACAGATAAACTTTATGGACCTTAAAGGTCACTCGTGTTCTCATGGATGCTGCGACAGTAACACTTTCACGTGAGCATTGCGTACCCGCAAATCTTAAGACTAGAGAGTTGGATTATATGCTCTCTTATTTCATGGTAGCATACTTTGGATTACTTTTCAAGTGATACTTCTGTATTTCTGTGTTTATTACTGTCAACTTATAAACATGGACTGGTTTGTTTTATGAAGAACATTTAAGGGGTTTTGTTTTTGGTTTTTG